AAAGTCGAATTTAGGTGGGGATTCTCGGGAGTTTCCCGAATCAAATAACAAAAACTAAACATTCGCATCACCGAGAATTAGTTTGAAGATTGTCGAAATTCAGAGATTACAATAATAATGTTTACGATAAAATGTACTTTTCGTCATACTGACAACGATAGGAATATTGTCGAGTTTTCTTGTGCATTCTTGACAATGTTAGGGCCCCCTCAATCGCGGGGCCCCGGTGCACAGCATCCGCCGCACCCCCCCCAATGGCCGGCCCTGAATATATCCTTCGGAGCATTGTACGACATTGTTTATTATGCTGCGGCGGTCGGCAACACTGCGCCTGACCACCGTCCCCAACCCGCGTGACGTCAGAGGTCGAGGTTGACACTTTTTGGGTCGACATGTTCAGGTTCGGACGTTCATCTCGTGCAGTCCGACCCTTGTCTACATGATCGGCGTTGTTCTAACTATCTGTAGATAGAGTTGTAATTATCGGCAAATAAACTAGTGAAAACGACATTCGGATCCTTCCTTCCATCTTAGAATATCTAACTCGCTTCCACGACAATCCCGTTCGTGGATGAGATCGGATTGAGCGATCTAACCGATTTCGACTATTTAGAGGAACAATTAACGGTCCCCTCAATGCACTAGGTTATCCGAAAGTTGAGTGTCGATAGGTCTCCAAGAAGTTGTCTGATGAAAACAAAGCATTTTACATTTGCGACATTTGACTGACATTTGTCTCTGCCATCCGCAACATTCATCAGAATGAAGGTGAAGAATTCTTAGATAGAATTATCGTGGAAGTTAAATCATTGGTCCGTTATTATATCTCGTAAAGCAAGCAACAAATGATGGTATGAAATATCTGAGTTAACCACTTCTTTTGGAGAGGACTAAAAAACAGAAAAATGTCAAATCAGTGCGTCAGTTGATAAAGTTATGTCGTGACTTTCTGGGATTGATACCGTCAACTTTACGTGAAATTTTTCCTTAAGAAATCTTCCGTAAATGCACGTTTACGTGCAGTGATCAGAGGAAAGATGTCAAACCTTCAAATGGAGGATGTTATCCTCTTGCCCAATAATGAAAGTCCTCACACCATTAACATCATGTGGCAGAAAGTCTAATTCTGGAGTTTGGAGATTATGCATTCACCATACTGTTCAGACTGAGCTCTCTCTAATTATCATCTCTTTGCACTTTTAAAAAAATTGCTTTGTGAAAAACACTTCGCTAACAATAAAGAAGTTCAGACTGAAGTATGAAGGTGGATGCGTATGAAGCGGGAAGATTTCTATGTCGGTGGAATACAAAACTAAAGCAATGGGACAAATTTAGTGACGGACCGGGCATTCAACCCCGGATTTTGCGCCTTTGTAAAAAATTCCAGTGTGCTAAATTCGCTGAACATGGACTTTGCGCCGGTCTGAATTGTGCTAACTAAATTTAGTAGATTTAAATTATTTTGTCTTTTTCTTCATACGCTACATGACGCTTATTAATCGTTTTATCATTGACATGACAATGTCTGCAAGTTGCATTTTCCGTGTTTATATTTGATTTTGAACAATGATCGGGGTCTCATTGGACACAAACCTTCCGGCGAAATATATCTGCTAAATGCGTACATTGTTACGTATCATTTTAAAGAGTTTTTCACTTCCTTATGCGCTCGTATACAGTTCCATCTTTACATTTTGGGTTTTATACCACATTAGTAGGCGTAGCTGATTCCCTGGCCTGGAAGAAACTGTAAAACCTCAGCTTTAGCTAAATCCATTACACTATGTTGTAACCTGTTTTATTTACGTCGTCTTTCTAATGAATTCAAACGTCTCAAAGTAATCTAGATCAGCGACCAGCAATTAATTACTGGAAGATGATCTAGTATAACTATCCAATTAAAGCACGCTATAGTTTGTACATCAGCATGACATTTTTTTTTATTCTTTCCGCCCTGTGAGCACTAAGAGAGCCTCTTAAAGCAGGCCCGTTATGGGTTCGGCCAGGCCCACAATGGGGCGACCGGGTGATGAGGGGCGGGGCCCGAAAGAATCCCCCCGAAAATTTCCTGGGGATTCTTTGACCCGTCCGGATTCGATCCCGGGTTCCCCAGAGCGGTAGGCTGCCATCCGGCCGTCGAGCATGACATTTATAGTCTATATGGAGGCTGAATTAAGATTTCCTCAAATAGATTAGATTATTTGGTTTTCATTGTTTAAATAACAAAAACTTTTGCTTCATTTCCAGCAAGAAATTGGTGAAAATTCATCTCAGAAGTTTTGAAATTTTCTGCGAAGATGGGATCCTTCTTTTTGTCAATGCTTTGCGCCGATAACCCTTGGATGATTATGGGAAAAGGTAGAGGAGAGTTCAAAAGTATCGTATACATTTAACTTTGAGTTTCTGTCTTGAAGTTATTGAAGTAAAAAAAAATAGTGGAAACGACTTTTCGACCAAGTTTTGTACAGAATAAAGATTTAAATTTTATTATTCTGAAATCTCGCTACTTAAGTGGCAGCGAAAGGACTTAGTTTCATGACCCGCTCCATCAGAATATAACTTAATGTCGTAAATTTTTAAAAAATTTATTTAAATTTTTAACAGCTGTTTCAATGTTTATCTCAGAAAGATAGTAATTTTAATACAACAAATTAAAGCCCTAAATTTCTGTGGCACTATTATAAAAAAATGAAACGCGCCCTCTTGTGATGAACACATTCGGCATGCAATGTCTGCTTATCACGTGTTTTGAACGTTAAAAGAAACAGTAACAAAAATGGAAATGAAAAGTAAAGTTTTATTAAAGCAAGGAGCTGAAGCTAAAGTATATAAATGTACTTTTCTTGGTAAAGAATCTATTTTGAAGGAAAGATTTAAGAAAACTTATCGTTTCGAGAAATTAGATGAGATGCTGACGAAGGAAAGAATGAAAGCAGAACTTCGATCTCTTCTACGATGTCGACAAGCAGGTATAAATTAATGTTATTTTTTCATTTTGTCTTCCTATGGAGGGGAAAAAATAATATCCATGACAAAAACAAAAAAGAAATAATGTCTTGAATACGGGAAACAGAAAAAATGCTAACACTCGGAAATCCTCGTGCAAATAGAGTTTAAGTCTCAGTATATATGGATATGGAAATATATTATGATTATTTTATTATGATTATTTAAACATTCTTTGTGAATATCATCAGGTATAGATCTTATATTGTAAAGCTTAATTGTTTTGAGAAATTGATATTCAAATATCTATTTTTTCTTTAAAAATAAGTAAAATAAAATATAATACTGTATATTGTACTTAAATAACTGTTCTTAATAAATTTATATAATCAAACTTTAATGAAAAATTATTATTAAAAATGAGTATTTATTTTCTAGGTATACATTGCCCAGCAGTTTATTTTGTGAATATGCCAGAATCTTATGTTGTCATGGAATTTATTCCAAATATTACTGTAAGACAATTCATACAGCAGTGTCAAACTTCTAATGATCAAAATGCTGAGTTAATGAATCTTGTTGAAAAAATTGGTAAAGATATTGCAAAAATGCATTCAAATGACCTCATTCATGGTGATTTAACTACATCTAATATGCTGATATATAATAATTTACAATCTGAAGTACATTTTAAAGAAGATAGTAAAATATATTTTATTGATTTTGGACTTAGTTATGTTATGAAAAATCCAGAAGATAAAGGTGTTGATCTCTATGTATTGGAACGAGCTTTTTTAAGCACGCATCCTAATACAGAAAATTTATTTCAACACTTACTTAAGAGTTATAGAAATTCATACAAAAGTGCTGTAGAAGTTTTAAAAAAATTAGATGAAATAAGATTAAGAGGAAGGAAAAGAACAATGGTTGGTTAATATAACTTTTGTTTCATTATGTAAATATGACTGGTTTGAATTATATAAAACATATTTTTATTATGACAATTGAAAACTTTTCAGATGATAAAAATTTATTGAAATCTGTTGAAAAATATTTTATATAAATCATTTTTGACATTTTTATGATATCATTATTATAAGTAATACTTCAATTATATATTTATTGTGTATGTGTTTGTTTTTCAATTATTAAAATTAAAAAGTTTGACAAATAAAGAAAATTTATTTATCAATGCTTACATATTGAAGAAGAGTTTTTTTCCCTCATGATATTAATTAAAATTTTTAAATGTATTAATGTTTAGTATTTTATTGAAAGTTTTAATTTAATACTGTTTAGTTAATATAAATTTATAATTTTTGAATTTTAAATAAATTTAAGAACTGTTACAAAATAATGTAAATTTTTCCAGTGACAAATATAAGTTGGGAATAAACTCAATGGGTTTATGTTAAGTATTTATAAAAAGCAAGCAAAGTAAAACATAAAACAATATATTCCATTCTTGATATTTAAATTTTTATTTTATTTTATCTATCAATTATCAAGTTACTATGCTAAAGTGATTTTAAAACATTAAATGTTTTTAACATGAATGCAATGAATAATGATTTTGCTGAGTACCAGATGTTGTTTGACTAATTCTGAAAATGAATTACTGTGTTTAGTTATTTGACCTCCAAATAATAAGATTTTAAAGAAATTTTAATTAAAAAAAAACTACTCAAAATTTTTATTATAAACTTCAATAAATTGTTTCTTTTTACATAAATAATCAAACAATTTCAAATTCATATTATCAAATTTTTTCAATTTTGATAAATTTAAATTAATAATAATGAAATAATCAGTTTAAAAAGTGAAATTGAAAATCAAGTTCAGTTTCTCTTTTCATGTAATTAAAGCATAAAAATATCAATAAAACATGTAGAAACAACTAAAATTTGTTAACAAAGTATTAGGTCTTATTTTAATATTCACTGAATATTCTTAAAATAATTATTTTAAATACTGAATATTTTTTTTGGCAACAATGGTATTTCTAATATTCAAGAGAAATGTTATTTTATAAGCTATTTATATATTGAGATATTCTTTTCAATTTATTCCCCTAATACTAAAAACATGGATACTGAAATTGTAACATTTTTAGTATTCCATTCTTAATCCAATCTTGAATTTGAATTTATTTTTAATTCTCAAAAGACAAATTACTTTTCTTTCTTGCAATTGAATATAATAGAATTATGATAATTTTTAATAAAATTTTGTACTAATTACTGAATTTATTTCTAATTTAAATCTTTAATATGTTCTCTAACTAAATTTACAATTACTGTAGAAAGTTTTTATTACTGACAGAAAAAAGACGAATGTTTTTAAATGTAAAAAACAAAATGCATTTCCTAAGAATAGTGTTTTTCAATTCTCTAATACGCCCATTAAAAATAATAATAATAAATAAATTAAATTCGTTTACAATAAATTTTCGGATTTATATATGATTCGAAAATTTACTGTTGGCTAAAATGCAATGTAAAAAAGTATCTTATCGTGCAAACTTTCTAGACACAGTCCACACTCAGTGTTAGAGCAAAAACCGGTTAGAACCGCCTCTACATAGAATCGCAGCTTGTCTAAATGTCATCTAACGGATTATTTATTTTTCATAATTGAGACAATTAACAAGAGGTAAGTAATTTCGTTTTTATTCAGTTTTAATATTTGATACTTACATTAAAGTAATCAAATATTGCATAAATGTAATAAACGAAAACAAATTTCATAAGTTAGTTGTCAAAATAAAGATACAGGTTAACAGCCACAGTGTCTTGGCCACAGTATTTGTATATCTTGTCTACATAATAGAATTAACAGTTTCTAATATAATATTGCAAATAATTAAAATATTGATAGTAATAAATATATTTAATAATAATAAATTTTTTACTATAAATTAAGATATTTTAATTGTTTAAAATAATGTATCAAATAAATACGACTGCAATAAATTGCTAAAAACTTTTTTTTACCAAAGTCAGAATAAAGCTTTCATTGATAAACACTTTCCTGGTAAGAAGCGAAATTGCTATAGACTTACTAAAAGTTTTTTTCTAATCTAATGACAGTTTATCGACGTATTTCTGCGACAGTTTCTCATCGAACGAGCTTGCTTATCTCGTTTTTAGTAATTTTATGAACGTTTTGAAGCTAAGATTTTTTCCTGCATTTCACAACATTCTCCCTTTCAATTTTCACCCTTAAATGTGCCCCAATTTATGTTAACAGTTCTGTCATCAGAAAGCTATCGTTTGTTAACATTGAATTTTTTTTATATTTTACAGTATTACATTAAAATCTCATGCATTTTAAGAGGATCTTATTACAAATATTTCATAATGAAATCTTGATTTAAAAACTGCATTTTACTATATGAGAAAGATTTCTTGATATCAACAAATTAAAATACTTTTTAATCATTTACTAATAGAGAAAATAATCTAAAAATACGTAAATTAACAAGTTGTGTTTCATGTTGAAAATTTTATACTTCAAATGATTTATCATTTTAAATTATTTTTGCACCTGTTATCTGAATAAAATATAATCGATTTGGCACAGAAGTAGCTTGCCAGGTTTTCCATAACGAATTCTTGGGTATCTGGTTGGCACAAGTTAAAACAAAATCAAGAAAATTTCTGCCCAAAAATAGTGAAGTTATAATAAATAAAAGGTGGTCCAATGTTTACAGCTTTCTAAACGTGTAACGATAGGTTTATCGTAATGTTCCCTGTATGGTAATCTTTATTAAAAGAGAAAGATTAACGCTTAAAATAAACGGAAACCTTATTACAAAGTACAGTTGTACTGTATGTATTTGGTTTGCATCCTTTTGTTCTTTGTTATTGTATTTTTAGAAACACTAACTTTAGCATTCTGTTACTTTCGATAGTTTTTTCCTACTAAATTAGTTTTTTTTTTTTTAATTCTCAACTATAGGGACACTAAGATTTTTTTTTATCAAGTCCATCGTGGGTTCGGCCTGGCTTACAATGGGGAAGATGGGACTATTACACATTCGAAACGAATCAACCTCCGAAAAATTCCTGGAGTTTTTCGTCCTGCCAGATTTGGAGGATCAAATTTGACACTTTCCCTTATGTACACGTAACAGCAAGGAAAGGTGTCCGGCTTCTTTTGCCACTATTAGTTGTGTTTTAGCGCTAGTAAAATAAATTTCTTCATCTCTTTTGTAGATATTTAAATTTACATGTATTACGTCACAGTTGATATAAAAGTTTTCTGTAAATCTATATATTGATACGATAGAAATCATCAATTTATTTTCATGAGTTTTTGATACTAAATAATTATACAACTAAACAGAAAAAATGAAGGAAATAACATTAAGTTAATTCGTAGAATTTGTTTATTTGAAGTACCCAGCAGTTGAATTGCATTTATTTATTTAAAAAATAAAAAATTGCAGATGTTACTTGAATCCTATTTTAGGCCTGAATATACAGAGTACAATTCTTTGACTGCCGTGAATATTAATAATAATCTTTTACTAAACTATAATCGTAAAATAAAAATATGCTAATTGTATCAATAAAATATTTTAAACATATTTTTGAAGGCAGTCGGGTGATGCGAGACTGTTCGACACATCGAACAACGATCTATAAAATGTCTGAGGTTTCTCTCTGAATTCGCACAATCCTAGGCAATAGCAAATCCAGAAATATTTAAAGGGGGCGGAAAAGAAACAATATACCTTACAAAACTTTTTACTATCTGACTTACCTGGCATTACTCGGAATAAAACCCTCAGAAGGAGGTGCAGCTGTGCTTGCGCACCCCTTAAAAATGCCTCTGCTCCTAGCGTTCTAGGTGCTTACATATTAGTATCAAATGATATGAGTAGCAATGCAAACGTGTTATGTCATTTAGTATAAATTCTGTGGTAATACTATTCACTGAACGAATATATATCTCATGATTTCCTCAACATTAATAACAAATATGTAGAAAAATATTTGTAGCTATTAGATGTAGATATGGTACATGTTTTGCTAAATAAATAAATAACAATTTTTATAAATATTTAATTAAATTGTGAGTAATTAAAATTTTGATGAATTTTCAAATATTCTAATATTAATAACAGTCACAAAAATTAGCATTCTAGAGACATTTGAAGCCTTAAAATTAATTGCATGTAGATGTTAAGACTGTCATCTATTTTCTAGAGAAATTTTTATATACTTGTATACAAAAGAGTGAAAATTTTTCTAAATATTCAAAAAGGGTTAATAGTGACAATCCCAACCACAAACTCAACTGTCCACCAAGATGACTGAAAAATTCGTCCTTCTGTAAAAGAAAAACAGTTTTAAAATAAGCTTTTAAAAGATGGAAATGTATGAGATGATAATCAAATGTTCTGTTGATTTGTTTATTAAACGTGATATCTAGAAAGGTTGCATACGTTACTTAGAATATACAGAGAAAACTCCAAACAAACAATTTAATTTAAAATATTTTGTATAACAACTTTAAATTTATGAGAACCAGTGTTTTGTATTGATTCATGACATTTTGTACCTTTAAACCAGGGCTGTGAAGTCGGAGTCGGTAGATTTTTACGCAACCTCACAGCCCTGCTTTAAACTATTGTCAAACAATTCAAATATAAATATAAAAAATGTTTTATTAAATAATTTCTAGTCCTTTATTTGTCGTAAAGTTAATTTTGTGTATTAAATCTTTCAAATGGTTGTTAACCTATTAGAATTAAATAAGCTATATTCAAAGAAAAATTCAATATTCAAGATTAGTAGTGGTTTGACACATACTTATCACAAATTTTAATTAAATTAATTTTCTAATCACAAATATGATACATACTGAGCACAAATCTTTAATTTTTATAGATGTTTATGAAAAATATACTTACAATTCATCTTATTGAACGTTGAGGTTTGCTGATTGTTGAAACTTCTTGATTCTGATGAAAAATTACTCCATATTTATACTTACATTTAAAGATATCGAAAAGATGTGGTCGAGAATTATTAATAAAATGTTTGCTAATTTTTTTTTTTTGTTCTAATATTCGAATAAATTAAAATACGACAATTTGAAATAATATTATAACAATAAGACAAAGTAAAGTAGGGAAATAGTTCAATATAATAATTATTTAATTTATATTTGTTACTTATTTATTAAATACCTATACAACGTATTGATTTTGAAAATATCTATTTTTTGTTCAATTAAGAATTGTTCGTAAGATAGAATATCGCAAAGAGAACAATGCTTTTTAAAATATTTGTGGTAATAACAATTCTTTTTAATATTATCTGATCTTGGACACCCAAGAAGTTCGATGTCTAAATAACTGTAATTCCAGTTTTTAAAAAGATTTTTTTTTCTATCTATCCACATTTAAATAAAAATATTCGTTATACGTTGTGAAATAATTTAATAAGTTTTGTAAATTACTATGTTCGATCCAGCCAGTTATATCCGATGGTTTTTCGTCTATAAAATTTAATCCATGAATTTTTTTGGTAGTAATTCATCAAAATTCATTTTTATAATGAATCTATTATTTTTTAAAATTTAACAGNGATCTTTCGCTGATAATTGATAATTTTTAACAGAATCTATATAAATGTCTATTACAGCTTCTATAGGACTGTGTAATGTTTTTATGGCCAACTGTCGATAAATAATTTCACGATCTTTAACTTGAAATGTTTCAAAATCTATTAGCATCGCATTCTGTAATTTTATATAAATAAAAATTAGGATTAGTATTATTTTATAATTTAATAAGAAAATGACAAAAAGATTTCGTACATAAATATATTTTACTGGCCGTAGACTTATAGAATGTTCATTGATATACCAAATGTTGTCTTGTCTTCCTATTTTTGATATTATATCACGATTATATTCAATTATTTCATCCATTTTGTCAAAGTGTTAATGGGAAATCTATAAAAATATAATTTTTAAAATTTATGTTGTAATTGAATTGAAATGAAACTTGTGTTTTTAAAATTAAAAAAAGTTTAGTTACCAAAATGAAATAAAAGTAAAAGATATAATATGAGAATTTAACTCAAACTGTACAGTAGCAATAATAATAATAATAATATTAAAAAATTGTCTTTCTTCAAATCGAATTTATACTGTGTGAACAAACCAACTCATTAAACTTTGAATTACTATATGGTTTATATTAAACCATAATTCCTTTATTTCTTTGAAATAATATTTATTTACCTGATAAACTATAATTAAGGAAATATTTAAAAATATTAAACTTTAATAAATGAAACTCTGATTATACACATTTTTTAAATTATAAACTCATCTCACCTCAATGTAAATTATTATATATCAACAAACTTTAAGAATAAATTTTACAACAATAAGGTAATTTATTTTAAAAACAACTTATTTAATTAAATTAACTAAAAACATAATAAAATTGTAAGATGATCTGTATTAGTTATATTATCGTATGTATATAATTATATTAGTTTTAAATATAATATAATCGATTACATTTATTTAATATTAACTTATTATCAATAATATTATCATTTTAATTAATTTCTATACATTTAAATTTATATTACTTGGTATTAAACTTTCAGATAACGAACCTCTGATTGTAATTCCTTAAAATTTTGTTTATCATATGACAGATATAAACCATACATATAATTGTCGAACCTTACCGATTTTTTAAGTCTAACTGTTAAATTTTAAAAAATAATAGATTCATTATAAAAATGAATTTTGATGAATTACTACCAAAAAAATTCATGGATTAAATTTTATAGACGAAAAACCATCGGATATAACTGGCTGGATCGAACATAGTAATTTACAAAACTTATTAAATTATTTCACAACGTATAACGAATATTTTTATTTAAATGTGGATAGATAGAAAAAAAAATCTTTTTAAAAACTGGAACTACAGTTATTTAGACATCGAACTTCTTGGGTGTCCAAGATCAGATAATATTAAAAAGAATTGTTATTACCACAAATATTTTAAAAAGCATTGTTCTCTTTGCGATATTCTATCTTACGAACAATTCTTAATTGAACAAAAAATAGATATTTTCAAAATCAATACGTTGTATAGGTATTTAATAAATAAGTAACAAATATAAATTAAATAATTATTATATTGAACTATTTCCCTACTTTACTTTGTCTTATTGTTATAATATTATTTCAAATTGTCGTATTTTAATTTATTCGAATATTAGAACAAAAAAAAAAACAAAAACAAAATTAGCAAATATTTTATTAATAATTCTCGACCACATCTTTTCGATATCTTTAAATGTAAGTATAAATATGGAGTAATTTTTCATCAGAATCAAGAGGTTTCAACAGTCAGCAAACCTCAACGTTCAATAAGATGAATTGTAAGTATATTTTTCATAAACATCTATAAAAATTAAAGATTTGTGTTCAGTATGTATCAAATTTGTGATTAGAAAATTAATTTAATTAAAACTTGTGATTAGTATGTGTCAAACCACTATTACTAATATAAAGTAAAAAATTAAAGCACAATTTATATCTGATACTTTCATAAAAATGTATGAGAATTACTAAAATTTTACCTCATAAACAGGATGTTGATTATAAATAAAACGTTCCATTCTGTCAAAGAATACATTCATTTGAAGATGTCCTTTTCTTAGAAATGAAAGTAATATACAGAGAATGTTATACAAAATCAATGTTTTAACGTAATATCAATTTGAGGCTATTCTGTGTCGTTAAATTTACCTATATTCTTCATAAGTGATTTGTTTTGACAAATTCTTTAAAGAGCGAAGCTACAAAATAATTTTACATTAAAAAATTATACACAAATTATTTAAAAAATTAAAGCATCTGAAAATTCTAACCTTAAATTCTGATTCTGATGGCCATATTGTCGAATAAAGACTTACATCATACGTAATTTCACTAAATTCCAAGTAAATGTATAATGTTCATTATGTAACAATTTTACGGTATAATTTTAATATTTTCAAAATATCAAGATTTTAACTCACTGACAAGGTAGAGGACACTGGCAGTAAGAAATATTCACTTTTCTCATTTTCATCATGCAGCATGCTACCAAAAAAAAAAAATTTTAGTTTTGTTACCGTTTTAAAGATATTTAATAAATCTAAATGTAGTTTAAATGATATAAAATATTATAAAATAGAATCGCCTCATAGACAGTTTGTTTAAGTATCAAGCAGTTAATAAGCAAGCCAATAATGTAGTTCTTTTCAAATGGATTATGGCAGTATGTTATTGATTTGCTTGCTTAGCTGCTTATTACTTAGAAGCATCCATAATTTTTATCTTTAGTATAATATAATTTTTATAAGTTAAAAATAATAATACCATCTTCTTCCTTAGTCAAATCGCAAAATGTTACGTTTCTGTAAAATTTCAAAGTAGGATCCAAACAACCACATTCTTTTTTAATCAGATCTCTAGTGCATAATGAAAGACATTCCTGTTGAGTGTAAAAGAAAAATCTAATATTTTAGTTTGATTAAAGCTCCAAATAATGACCTTTGCTCAGATGTACTGTACAGTACATTAATTAGCAGATAAGATAATAAAACTTTTTAACTTGTTACCTTTTGACTTTTTATTTTCTTAAAATCATCTTTACCGTAAAGAACACACTTATCTTTAAATGGTTTAGACATTCTTCTGTAAAGATTCTAAAATTTTAAATTTCAAATCTTAACTCATATATTTAAAATACACGCACATATATATTTATTTACAAACCTCTTGAATGGCAAAAGCAGTATCAAATCCAGTACTAATGTCGATGCCTGTTTCTTCTGGATAAGGTCGTTCGTCTGGTGAATGAATTATTACGTGAACTCCCATTTTAGATGTTATTGATAAATACTCTTCTATCTGAACGTTTAGAGTTAAAGATAACCCTAACAGAAATAACCAGTAATTACTTTTAGAATAAATTAAAATTTGTAAAAATATTTCTTACCAGAGAAGGGATTCGTAGATCTAGAAATCAATTTTTCGTTTCCATCATCTATAAATTTCTTTCTTTTCCTTCTCCCCATATCTTCTTGTCCTCTAGAATTCATCCAACGTCCATTAAAAGTATAACAGCTGCCATATGTAAAACTTTCCAAAGGAGTAAAGCTTCTGCAAAGAATAATATCAATTCAAAAAATATATTTACAAGTACATTTCGCCCCAATGGTTGAATGGATAACACCACTGAAGGTCGTGGGTTCGCGTTTCGCCAACGCGCTAGCCGCATGGAGTTTTGTGGTTTTCTTCGCTTGAATAACAGTTAAATAAGGATGCGTTTCTCTTAGAAAATCCTCCAGTCTATTCCTCTCGGCAGATCGCTCACGTATTGCATTGCCTTTTCCCATTAATCCTACGTTCGAATTGTTATTTGTAGATGGTCGAAGCAGTGAAGCGTAAGCCTCTCGCTATGGTCACCTGGGATCAACTCCCAGAAATTTTTTAGGACAATCCGTCCCGCATATACTGTATTGGGCTCCGTCCCTCGCCACCCGGCCGCCCTCATTATGAGCCTGGCCAAACTCGCGGTTGGTATATTAAAGGCCTTCTCATTGCCGATAGGGCGGAAATAGCTAAAAATAATGATTCTTTGCATCATTGATGAAATTATTTTTAAAAAATAAACTCAAATTATTTATTAAAAACGATATAATTCTTACGAAGCATCACATTTTTCTCCATCAAAAGTACATTCTTCAATCATGTCTTCTATCTGGTGACTCATTTTTTTTATTTTCCAATCTTCAAATCTCGAGAAAGTATTCGTGAATGCAAGTAATTTTTGATGATATAATGTCATTTCTCTTTTCGAAGAATTACTGCATGTTGCAAATTTAAAGACAAATTCCTATATCAAGTAATGATAAATTATGATAAATTTATTAATAGATATAATAATAAGTTTGAATATAATATCGTATATACCGGTTTATTCTCAATATCTGAAGAACTTTCATGTATGATACGTAAATACTCGCAAGATTTTCGCTTAGATTTACACACGTCTTTATGGAGTTCCGATACTCTCATTCTAGAATAGAAAAATAATTAATTTATAATATTATTTCTAAAGTTTTTTGCTAGGCTTACCTATTTGAATTGCAAATTGTTACAGCTGGAAAAAATAGTTCACCTTCATTCTCTACTTCTAGATTAACAACAACAGGATATTCGAAGAAATTCGTTAGAAATTTATAACTGGAATATGTGAAACCTGATAAACCTCCAAATACAATAATTAACCAAAAAATTTTGATATTTCTGTGTTTTTCTTTAATACTAGGATAGTTCAAAAAAAATATTTCACTGCATTTTTTTCGAGATAACTTTTTCTTATTTTTTGATGAATTTTCCCACGCAATAATATAAGGTGGTTTTGTATTAGATCTTTTTTCATAAGATTTCATTTTTAAGGATTTCTAGCAGCTCTAAATTATCTATTAGTAGAAATAAAACTGAAAAAGATATGTAAGTTAACATACGATATGATTGGTTGAACGAGAAATTCTATCAACCAATCACCATGCATTTAAATAACATTTTGAATTTTCATAATGAAAGAGTTTGTTATTGGAAATCGTTATTTTTTTATCTCTAATTTTTTCCTATTTTTTCAACTTAAAAAATTATCAGTTTCATTTTTTTTAATTATGAAAGGTGTTAATTACTTTTACTGAGATTATGATTATATAAAATACAATAAAAGATTGTCAAGATGAAATTAAACTCGACCTTATGCCTTTTGATAACTTAATTTGAAATATTTAAATATTACTAAAGAATCCAATAGGTTATTATTTCATTTATTATGGAGAGTTTTATAAATATAATATAAAATTCTATCGTCAATAACAAGAATGTACATTTTTTTATTGTTGACTCTTGCCACCCTGTGGGTATTAAGAAAGCATTTTTTTTTTTTTTT